AAGGAAGGAAAGAAAGAAAGAAAGAAAGAAAGAAAGAAAGAAAGAAAGAAAGAAAGAAAGAAAGAAAGAAAGAAAGAAAGAAAGAAAGAAAGAAAGGAGAAAGAGAGGACAGACAGGAGGGAGAGGACTCCATATCCAATCCACACAGTGCTTAGAAAGGTGAAGCAATCCCTGAATTCTTAGGATAAACAACTTGATCACGGTATACTATCATCTTTATTCACTGTTGCATTCTGTTCTAACAACTTGATCATATTTTTTTAACATCTTTTATATTTACATGAGCGTGTAATTTTCACCTCTTGTTTACGTCTGTCTGGTTTGGGCACTAGATTCCTTTTCTAATGGTGCTAATTTCTCCAACAGTTACTGCTTTCTCCACACCTACCTTATCTTCAATTTTAAACTCACTCACACCTTCCTTTCCTCACCAAACTGCATGTTTATTCCCTGCTCCTCTTGCTGATCTCTCCCTCTCTCTCTCTAACATAAATGCCACAGCCTAAAAGCTACCCTGCTTGAAATATTCTCCATCAAACAAATTCATCCATTACTTTTTAGTTCACTCTCCCTCAAGTTCTTAGAACATTAGCAGAATGAAGCTAGATTTTTTTTTGCCAGAATGCAATGAGTAGTTGGTTCTGTAACTAAAATGTAGCTAATCAAACTTAATAGAAAGAAATGAACTTAAGGTGAGGTGAGATAATACCAAACCTAAGGAATCGAATTCAAAAGCTACTACTCAATTATTTAGATTATGACAGATGTGAGGCTGCTTTGTGTTTTAGGAAGAATCCAACCCTGACCTCTCTGCTCATCAATCAAATAGCAGATACTGATCATTATTATCTAAGTAGTGAAAGTAATCGCTGGAAAAACTAAAAAGTATGAAAGCATGATTGATTGTAGGTAAGAGGAGAGCTAATGATGGTAAACGTACACTTTCTATACTGTTTGAGCTATGTTTAGTCATGCTCATATATTACATTCTATCAGTTCAAACATCTACTCTAAGTCGATTCCACAACAAAGCATAACACATAGTTGAAAGGAAGACCACACACACACACACACACACACACACAGTCAGCTACAATTCTGAAAATGCAAACTACAAAAGATGTAATTACATAGGATTTGATTCAAGAACAGAGATTTGCCTCCAGATGTGTATTCTTGCTAAAACACAAAGCAGCCTCACACCTGTCACAAATGAAATATCATCCACAGAAGGATAAGAAAATCAAATCCCAAAAGGTGTGTGGGAAGGAATATAACTTAATGGAGCCATAATCGGCAAATCAAAAACTTGCTATTTACATTTTATTTATGTATACATCCTGAGATGACTAGCACAATCAAGTGAATTAACATATCCATTGCCTCACATGTTCCCTCTCCATCCCCCCACTCCCTAGTACCGAGAAAAACAAGGTTTAGCCCCCTGGTAAATTTCAAGTGTGTAATAGAGTACTAACTGTAGACACCATGCTTTACATCACTTCGAGCTGTAGAACCTATCTGAACCTTTATAGCCCTTGCCAGGTATCTCCATTTCCCCACTTTCCTATCTCCTAAAAACCACCATTTCACTCTGCTGCTCTGGGTTTGTCTTTCAGATTCCATATATCAGAGGATCATCTGTCATCCTGTACCTACCTAGCCTATTTTCTTAGAAGAATGTTGTCCATATTCATTCTTCTTTAGCAAATGATTATAACTATATATATATATATATATATATATTTAGTTGAATAATATTCCATTGTGTATTTATGTTACACCTTACCTATTTCTGCAATAGTGGTCATTAGGTTGGTTTTACATCTTGACTATTTTTATGTCCTTAAACAAAATCAAATCATGGACATTGGGATCATGGAAGAAATTTGAACCTAGCTCTAAATCATAGTATATTATCGAATTTGAAATATAAATTGTTACTTCATATGTTTGAAACTATTAATAAGCTTAATCATTTCACAGGATAATCTTAGAATGATGTTTTGTTTGTACAAAATGACCTACTAAGATGTCAAGAGAACAAAACTAGAATAAAAAAGAAACTGAACCTGTTTCATCTGTATCATTTACCAGCTGGTGATGTGTTAGGTGAATTATGAGTTTTGTCATCTATAAAGTGAGGATAGAATTATCAGCATGCAGTTGTTATTAAAATAATAAATATAAATATAATATTGTTAGCATCATTATGTTTTTATTTCATCATTTTATTTCATATTTATATTATCTATTTTTAAAGGTCTAGTAGAAATAGACACTCATCCTATAGCTAACAATACCACCCAAAAGAAGTACCCTTTTTATTTTAAAAAGAATTGACGTTACCATCTGCAGAACACAAGAGATGATACCCGACCCCATATAGCTCACAGTGATGCCATCATAGCCAGCCTAGATCACCTAGAAATGATCTAAATACCTAAAGAAACAAGTCCAAACATAATGAAAAAGAAAGCTGAGAAAGATAAGTTCATAGAGAGAGGGGGGTGGTTTACTGAATGAAGGGCGAGGCTGGTACTTTAGGCAGCTGGCATGGTATGAAGAAAAGAGAGCTAGATCAGGAGTCAGGGAACAGCAATGGCTCCATCACTGGCAGGCTCTCTGTGAAAACTTAGACAAGCTTCTGTCCCTTTCTGAACCGCAGTTCCTTAATCTGTAGCACAAATAGGAACTTGAAGACTAGTGAGTGCATCTAACTAATAAATCATCTTCAAAATGCCCCTGTTTATTGTGGGCTACAAAGTATTCCAGCCACTGGCCACACAGGAAAGAACAAACTGCTGCTGCTGTGGATTTGACGTTCCAAATGCTCGTCCATCCAACAAACACGAAGACCTGCTACACTCAAGCTCCAGCTGTTGCTAAGGAGAGGCCAGCGTGGACCAAGAAGGCAAAGGCATGACTTCTTCCATGAGCGGTGCTCTTTTGAGAGCAGAACTAAGTCGTCCCCGTGTCTATTTTACCCCATCTAGGTCCTAAGCCTTACAGGTTAACATAGATCATAGCAGTTAACTGACTTTCACACTAAAGATAAGACTGGAGCTCAAAGAAGTTTCCAGAACATAAACATTTTATTTTTCAATTAGATTAGGAAATTTGATAACTCCTTGAGGCTTATCTAAAATTACTAACATTGATAGATAGTTAAAAGTAATGATAATATAATTTCTAGCATTCATTTTTATGATATGAAAATATAACGTGTACATGTAATGTAAAAAATAAATTATTTGCTATACAGAGAGGAAACACTATTACACATTACAGCACTCTTTCTATCAAATCTAAAACCCTTGTCTTCATTTCTATAATGCATTAAAATAATTTACTGTACATTGTAAAAAGAGGAACAATGTTAGTGTGTAGTCCTTAAATTGATGTCAAAGTAGAAAAAAATTTAAAGATATAAAACACAACTCTGTTATAGAGAGCTAGCAAAAGAAGGTCTCCAAACATATCCTGATTTCCCCATCTCCCTGTGGATCATGGACCCCAGGTTCTCTTATCACACACAGTCTGCCGAAAGCTTCTCTGACAAATGTGCTCACCCTAGGGATCAATATAATCAGCAGACTAGAGTGGAGAGAAGGGCAGGCAGCTATGAATGTGTCAGAGACTACGACCCTGGGAGAATCCTTGCAAGTGGCAGACAAGGGGCTAGCCACTATATAAACCAGGGGAAGGACAAGAAACTAGACCAAGGACTTCAGGGCAGTGATGGGAGCCTGTGCCGGAACATCTCTCCTACCAGCCATATGGACATTCATCTTCCTGTCCTTGTTCATTCATGTTCCTGTGTTCCTCTTTCACCCCAGAAGAAACAAGAACTAAAAAGAAAGGCAACCAACTTCCTGCAGGGAGATGAAATACAGATTGATGAAGCCAGCTTGAAAGGCAGTATGGAATGCTGCTGTTTGCATGGGACAGACCGTAGGGCATCAGGCCATCGGTGACTCTAAGTAGAAAAGTGATGACCAAGTGCCCAGGAGGCAGCAGAGACTCAAGCTACAGGACTTCTGCTTCAACCACAAGCAGGCAGGGTGTTTGAAGGTCGTGGTTTTGCTACAGTAGAACACATTGAGGAAAGTAGCAAACCATAGACTGTCCTAGCTTACCAGAGCCCACAGTACATTGGTAAAGCAAAGCTCAGGGTTGTTCTCAAAACAATGAAGCAGGATTTAATCCAACATCAGCAGCCACTGCAAGAGGAAACACCAAGCAGCCAGGCCTGGGATAATGAGGCTCTAAGAAGACTCCTCGGCTTTTCTGGTCCATTCTCTAAAATTCCAGATCACAAGGACTCCATTTCCAACTAGGCAGATGAGAAATTCAGCTATTGTTACAGCCATCCATGGTACTAGATCAGCCAAGGGCACGGCTGGGGAGGGAAGCCACTCATCACCAACCCCGGAAGGGGGCGGGGCACGTCCTGATTCAGTGCTGGTGAGTGCGCACAGCTCCTGACTGGGGTCAGTCTCTGATAGCACACTATCTTCAGACTACCTTTTCGCAGCATCAAACCTGGCTTTGGATTGGTTCTTCAGTGATCCATCCTCAGGCAGAAACTGAAAAGCTATGGTCAGGAAAAGAGAAGTTAGAAGTGGTGATGATCTGATTGCCTCTGTATTTGCATCTGAATAAATGAACTCTGAGACTAGACATAAAGGTTAGTAACAGTATCAAAGACCTTGACCTTCCATCTCAAGGTCTTGGGCTAAAGGCTACAACCAGGAAATAATTTAACAACAACTCTCAAAGAGAAGTATCGAAGTAAAACATTCCCATTCTACAGACTGTCAGATACGGGCACATGTGCCATTAAAAACAACCTGCTGTTTTAGCCAGGCATGGTGAGCCACGCTTGTTTAACCCCTGCCTTGGAGAAGCAGGACTGGGAAGTTGGATCCAAGTTAGCCTGGGTGACACTAGACCTTTTCTTAAAGAGGAGTTTTGTTTTATTTTCATAAAAAGAACCATGAACAAATAAGCATGAAAGTTAAATGACCAAAAATTGTTTTTGAATTTCATTATCAAAGAAGGAAACAGGGAGATTTTGGTAGAGGAAAACAGGTAGCAAAAGACATTTAAATGCCAAATAATCTTTCTTCCTAAAGTAAGCCAAGCAGAGGAGCCACAATCTTTGACGTTATCTGCCCTTTATGATCAATTATTTGCAAATATTTGTCACAGTTTATTTCACATACTCCTCAAAGAAAGGAAAAGTGCTCAGAGAATTGAAACTTAGACTAGCATATTTATCAATAAACATAATGAAAGTGCTTTATTTACTGCCTTTCTGATTCCTACTTGCTTGGAATATAAGTATGCTTGTGGTAAGCTGAATTCTAAGACTGCTCCTAGGGTTCCCACCCCCTGGCAAAGCACCTTGGACAATCTTGGCCATGGATGGTCTGTAGATGAGAAAGGATGTCACTTCCATAGTTAGACAAAGCCAAAGAGCTTTTAGAGGAACAGTTCACGTCCCCCCTTGGTCAGTTTTGAGTTAAGAAAGAGGTATAAAGCTCTGAAAGAGGGAATAGTCTTTTCTGTTTCTCTTTTCTTCTTTCCTGGGGGAAAAAAAGTCCTGCTGACCCAAAAGAATCTAGCTACCTTGCTATGAGAAGGCCCACAACAGGAAACCAGAGACCTCTAGATGCTGAGAGTAGCCCCTGGTTGACATAGTGTGTTCTTAAGCTGCTAGGCTTGTGTTGCCTAGCAACGAAACGAAGAGAGAAGTAGTACAATGGTCAGATCCAGCTGGAGGTGATGACGAAGAAACGCGGAGGAAAAGAAGTGTGGATTGGAGAGAAGTAGGGAGGTCAGGCTGGTGTCTTAAAAGGCGGTATATGTGTGGAGGAAAGAATGACATTCTGAAAACAGGAACTGGAACTGATTTCAGTTCGACCTTGAACTCTAGAAAGCTGGGTGCAGCCACTGTCTGCTGTTGACATCTGTTTCTCTGCTAAAATCGTAATGGGGCTACTGGATGAAATGCTCATTTCTTCAAAAAGGTGTAGAGTGCTCATTATGAGCCAACCAACAGCATGCTAGGCACAACCAACACAGCAATGCGAGATAGTCTCTACATTCCACAGAGTGTACATTACAAGTCCGATTACAGGACTTGGCACTGTAAAAGTGTGGCTATGGGCTGTATTGAGGAACAGGAAGAGTTTACTGTTGTCTATGGGTCTCAAAACCTAGAGGAAGCTTCAATCTCCCCAAAATAGTATTTCTTCAGTAACGCTTCTTTTTCTTTTTTTTCCTTTAGGAACTTTTCTAAGCTGTATTTACCCCTCTCTCCATACTTGGCCCACCCTGGTTAGGTAGTGAAATTTCCTATAGATACTAGTTGCCCACTGGCATGTATTGAAAAGGCCAAAAAGTCGACCCAAAAAATCAACACCTCCCTGCCAAAAAAATCCAGAAATATAAAGTATGACAAGCTACTTTAATACCATTGTTGAGAGGATAAATCACATAGAAAACAGAGATAGCCATTTAGTTAATTTTACTATGAGAAGTATTTGATAAATATATTGGTTCAATATATATATATATATATATATATATATATATATATATATATGTATGTATGTATTTTGAGACTGTGCCTATTTCTACTTCTCAACAACGAGGCATAGTCACTATATTGACAACATTATTTGTAGAAATTTAGATAATACGATACTTTCTATGTAAAATATAAACAAGTTTTAATTTCTATAGCTTATGGAAATAATGCACTTTGCATTGTTTAAAGAGCAGTTGCTCTGGTTTCCATCCTACTTTTCATGTTACCTTCTTAGTTTGCTTTACTACCAAGAAAGAGACAGAAACAGAGAACTAAAAAAAATTACTTTACTGAAAACTTCAGTTACTTTTGTCATTGCCAATAGTAAGTTAAGAGCCTATTGAATCTGTCTTCCATGCCATGGTCTTAAAATTGCCAAGGGCAAATCATCTTGCACAGATTCCCTTGCACTGCCTTCCTGATTCCTACTTGCTTGGAATATAAGTATGTTTGTAGTAAGCTGAATTCTAAGACTGCTCCTAGGGTTCCCACCTCCTGGCAAAGCACCTTGGACAATCTTGGGCATGGATAATCTGTGGATGCCCAACTATCTTCATGATAGTTGAGGTGGCATGAAAAATAAGCTTACACAGCCAATAATGAGGTGGAAACCTTGGTAACTTCCAAGAGGGAGCATTTGGAAATAATGGTAATCTAACCTTGCTTGCATCTTCTATTTACTGGGTGTTTCTTCAGAGTCCTGACGAGTCTGTACAAAAGATGATCTAGAAGACAGTCCTAACAAGGTGACAGAGGAGAGGAACTGGGCACTCGCTCCAATTTCCCACTACCACAAAGAAAACTAAAAAAACAACTATCAGCTGCTATTCAGTTAGAGCACCTTGGAGGAGCACTGGAATATAGCTTGTATATGGAGAGACTGAAGAATATGGAGATGGTATGTGGTCTGATAGAGAAGGGAGAAAAAAATACCTTACCTAAACTACCCCAGTCTGAACCTGGAAAAGTTGTCTCACTACAGGAAGAAAAATAAACATACTGCCCAACCACCTACACTAATACCATTGGACACCTAACATTTTGGCTACTAGGGAACCTTGCCATCCTCCTAGGCCCAAGCCCAGCTGGGGAATTGTTGAGGAGGGGGAAGAGTTGGAGTGCTCCAGAGGTGGGACCCATCTAGGTTGTTGCTATGAGATTTTGTTTTGAAATTATACCAAACCAGACCCCAGAGAAAGTCTTTTCCTACGAAAGCTTTCTAATTAATTCAGTGGGAACAACTAATGAGCCAGTTGTACAAATATCGACACAAGGACATGCGATGGTTGATTCTGAGAGCTAGGATTGGATTGAGAATTATCTAGGAAGGAGGTCAGTAAAATATCTTTTGGGGTCATTCCCATAGATAATGAGATCATATGAACTCTAACCTAATCAGTCAGTCAGTCTCTTGATGGATTCATAATATGATAAATTTATTTGAAGGTAGTGAAAGGTACGAGAGAGGGCCTCGTTGGAGGAATCAGGTCACTGGGCGTCTATCCTTGGGTACTATATTTTGTCCTGGACCCCTCCTGTGTTCATTCATTTTGCTTTGTATCTACCCAGGAAGAAAAACAGCCTGTGCCACATGCTCCCACCATCCTGATTTCCACCAGCTGCGCGGATCCAAACTTCCCTGTGCTAAACTGTGAACCTAGATAAATCCTCTTTCCTCTTAAGCTATTTCTGTCAGGTTGTCACAACAATGAAAACAGTAGCTAACACAGGACATAGAAGTATGAAAAAGCAGAACTGGCACCTCCAGGGGAACACGACCCTAACAAAGAAGAAATTAACGGAATCCCCAGAAGGGTATTCAAAAAAAAATGAGTTCAGGGAGGGGTAAAATTATGATCAAAACATGTTGTACAAAATTCTCAAATAACATTTTTAATAAATGTATTTATTCATTTTACATTCAGGCCATGGTTTCCCCTCCTCCCTCTCCTTCCAGTCCTTTTCCCCCACCCCCTTTTTCCCACCCCCCAATACTCTCCTCCTCCATTTCTGTTTAGGAAAGGGCAGGCCTCCCATGGACATCAACAAAATATTCCTTCCTCAGCAATCATTAATACTGTACAGATCCTCCGGGAGGAATAAAACCTTGTGAGCCCTTTCCACCCCGTCACAGGACATTGAGCAGCCCAATCTTGAGCAGGTCTTATGTAGGAAGTCACAGCTACTATGAGTTCAAGAGAGCAATAGCCAGACCATGCCCGGAAGACTCCACCCCTTCCTTTGGCTCTTATATTCTCTTCACACCCCCTTCCATGATGCTCCCTGAGCCTTAAGATGGGCTTATTATAGACACACCCTAAGGTAGAGCATGTAAAGGCCACTTTTCTTGGCACTTTGACCAATATGAGTCTGAAGTTACCATTGCCCACTGCAAAAAAAGGATCTTCTCTGGCCAAAGCAAACAGCAGCACTAATCTATGGGTATAAAAGTAATTATTAAGAAGGTAGTCTCATAGGCCCACCATGTCCATTTAGAAAAGCAACAGAAATAGCTTACCCGCTATGATGACCTCCATAACCACAGAATGACATCTGAACAGAATTAGAGTGTGAGGTGTCAATCTGGACTGTGAAGCAGGCCTTAAATCCAATCAGAACACTATTGTCACTATTACAATGGTGGGCACATCTTGCCTGGCAGGTGGGTAGTGAAGCAGGCAGTGTCCATTGCTGGGTAAGATTGCTGATAATAACTCTTCTCCAGCAGCTTACATAGCACCAGCTCATTTCCAGCCTGATTTCTATGACCTGCAATCAGAGTGGTCTTGGTTTATCTTAATTGCTTGTGCTCCCTAAGAATTTCTCTTCCTAACATTTTTTCCACTAAAAATACAAGATGCCTTATTTATTCTTTTTTATTCCCACCTTTATTTTTATTTGTATGTTTTTCTTTATGTTGTAACTGAAATTTCTTATCTCTTCTTCCATTCCCCTCTTTTTCTCTTCACATTCCTTTCCTTTTTCCTTTTTCCATTTAAGTTCGCTATTTTCAGTTTTCTGATTTCCTCCTCCCTTCCTGTATATCATTGTTATTTTTGCCATTATTAACTTTGAACTGTATAACTTAGTCTACATTATTTTTGTCAAAATTGTTTTTTGGCTTCTTGAGACAGTATCTCACTATGTAGCTTTGGTGGGCTTGGAATTAATACATTGTTCCACAAATTAACCTATAAAGATTAAAACAACATCTGAAGCCACTGCCACCCTGTTGCAAAACTGAATTAAGACACAAAGGAAAATCATCAATTACTTTCTTTGGTGAACATAGAAAATCCTCAGGCAAATAACTTGTATAAACACAGTTGAGCAAGTGTGCTTGGTGGTAGGATGGGATATCTGTCTTTTGGGTATATGCCCAAGAGCAATATAGCTGGGTCTTCAGGTAGGTCAATTCTCAATTTTCTGAGGAACCACCATATTGATTTCCATAGTGACTGTACAAGTTTGTATTCCCACCAGGAATGGAGGAGTGTTCCCCTTGCTCCACATCTTCTCCAGCATGAGCTGTCACTTGTGTTATAGATCATAGTCATTCTGACAGTTGTAAGATGGAATCTCAGAGTCATTTTGAAATGCATTTCCCTGATGGCTAAGGATGTTGAACATTTCTTTGTTTCTTAGCCATTTGAGATTCTTCTGTTGAGAATTCTGTTTAGATCAGTACAATAGCCCATTTTTAAATTTGATTATTTGGTTTACCAATGTCAAGTGCCTTGAGTTCTTGGTATATTTTGGGTATTAGCCCTCTATTAGATGTGGAGTTGATGAGGATCTTTTACTACTCTATAGATTAATGTTTTGTCCTATTGATGGTATCCTTTGCCTTACAGAAGCTTTTTAGTTGTATGAGGTCCCATTTATTAATTGTCAATCTTAGTGCCTGCGGTATTGGTGTTCTGTTTAGGAAGTTGTCCCCAAGATTATTTCTCACTTTCTCGTCTACCAGGTTCAGTGTAACTGGATTTATGTTGGGGTCTATTGAGAGCTGCTGGTGCAAAAAGGCCATAGGAGTATACAGCAGGGGACAACTAGTGTTCAAAAGGTCAACCTATCAGAACCAAAGATTCTGGTAGAGGACAAAGTCATCATGTAAGGTGTATTGGACTTACTGCCTTTTGAATGAATTGGCTGTTTCCTAATGTAAACTTCTTATTCAATTACAGCTATCTCCCCATTAACATGCATCTTCACGTAATATGATTATGTAATCTCATGATTACATCTCAATCTTATGGGCACATATATCTGTAGGTGGTCAGGAAGACGACTTTTCATTTAGCTGTATAATTTTGATACAAGGAAAATATTCTAGGATAAGCTTCATAGCCAGATCCATTGTCCCACAACACTGTAGACACTTAAAGCCTGCTTTGTTCCTTTTGCTCATGCTAATACAGAAAATAATAATCTCTCTTCAGTCTAACACAAACTACATAGATTTAGCTCACTTTTACCTCAAAGCAAGTTCAAATTAGACTAAAGGCCTTTGTAAATAGGTCATAACTTTAAAACTTCACAGTTATGCACAAGGTTGTGGTGATATTGTGTTCCCCAAAATATTGTGCACCCTAATAAACTTACCTGGGGTCAGAGAACAGAACAGCCACTAGATATGGAGACCAGAAAATGGTGGTACACATGCCTTTAATCCTAGCATTCCAGGGGACAATATAAAGAATAAATTAAATAAAGAATTGGTTCTTTTAGAAAATCAACAAGATAGACAAACCCTTATCCAAACTAAAAGACAGAGAGAGAATATCCAAATTAACAAAATCAGAAACAAAGAGGGAGACACAACAACAGACACCAAGGAAATCCAAAGAGTCATTGTGTCATACTTTAATTTTATTAATATTCTTATTATCAAAAATTGGGTTGCAAAAACCTTAAGATTTGTAATTAAGTTGCTATAGATATATTTAATTAAAAGTAAATTGCTTTAACCTTTCTTTAAGTTAAAAGTGAGGTTTAGAATCTTTTTTTTTCTGTTGTTGAAAATAATTTTTTCTCACATAAGATACCCTGGTTATGACTCACCTACTCCTCTTTGCTCCTCCTCACTTCGCCTTCCATCCAGACCCACGCTACCATCCCTGGGATGAAACCATCTTGATCATGACATATGATCTTGATCTTTTTAAATGGTGTAAAACTCTTTTTGCAGATTATTTGCCTGAGGGTTTTGCTATGTTCACTACTTTCTTCTTCTCCTTAGAAAACAAACAGGCATCTATTGGAACATAATATAACATAAACAAACACATCACAATTGGACAAGACAAACAAATAGAAAGGAAAGAGCCCAAGAGAAGGCACAAGAAACAGAGATCTATATTTTCACACACTCAGGAATCCCATAAAAACACTAAACTGGAAGCCAGAACATATATGCAAAGGACCTGTAAGATAAAAAGAGAAAATGTGTGTGTGTTTTATTTTATATATTTTATATTCTTATTGTATATATGTATTTTATTATATATAAAATAAAATAATGATATAAAAACTTTCTAAGGGACATCTCTTTTAATTAGGATACAATATATTAGGTTTCCCTATGGCACTATATTCCATATAATGTTTTTATTCAGTCTTTGAGAATTTTATTCATGTATATAATGTATTATTATCATAACCATCCTCTAATCCTCTAGGTCTCCTTATGACATTTAAATTTTTTTAAAAAAAGGAAGAGCCCTAACACAATAGCATGAGACAAGGAACCTCCAAAGATGCTGTTAGTTCATTTTCTGTTGGACATCGACTGCTGTGCATGCAACCTACCCTTAAGAGTAGTTTGTTTCCCCAGTGAGACTCCCTTGGAGAAAACTACATTTTCATTTGCAAGTGGTTATCACTTGAAGATTGCTTCTTGGTTAGGGATAGGGGCATGTGTCCACTTCCCCTTTCAGCTCTAGGACCCCACTTGGTGCAGACCTGTACAGGACCTATGCCTGCTGCCTCAGTCTTTGTGAATTCATATGAGCTTTGATCATGTTGATTTAGAGGGCCTTATTTTCTTGGTGTCCTCCATCACCTCTGGCTCTTACATTCTTTCAACCTCTTCTTCCTAGAGGTTCCCTGAGTCCTGAGGGGAGGGATTTTATGGAGACATACCATTTAAGGCTGAGTGTTCCAAGGTTTCTCAGTCTCTGCCTAATTTCTGGCTGTGGGTCTCTGTATTTGTTCCCATCTGCCAAAGAAGAAGCTTCTCTGATGATGGTTGAACAAGGCACTGATCTATTAGAATGTCATTAAGAGTCATTTTAGGCCGGGCAGTGGTGGCGCACGCCTTTAATCCCAGCACTCGGGAGGCAGAGGCAGGCGGATCTCTGTGAGTTCGAGGCCAGCCTGGGCTACC